TACAGTATCTAGGATGGCTGATAGGCTGTCTACCAAACTAAGTGGAATCCCAGAAGGCTGTAAAATAGTGAAGCCTGGGGTTTATGTTTCTAAATGGACCATCTGAAATGAATGTAAAATCAAGGAAATGAAAATGTATATAGCTCTTGAAATGAAATGCCCTAATTTAGCTGTAATACTATAATGATGCCTGGAATTTATGTTTCTCAAGGGACCATGTAAAATGGATGTTAAATCAAGGAAATGAAAATTAATGTAGCTATTTGAAATGAAATATGCTAATACTAAATTACATTGCAAATGTAATCTAGTTAAATATATGGCATTAAAATGTAACATAGTTTACTTCTTCCTATCAAGTTGTTGCTGCTTCTCTTTCTGCAGAACCTCGTTCTCAGTACTACTTAGGACAGCCATCAACATCAAACTTTATGAGGTATTTTCTCAAAGTGTTTATGCCCTTTGTTGCTGACAAAAATGTTTTTGGAGGTTCACCTTTTCCACCATCATTATCCACCTCCCCCTTCTCCTCTTCAGGCACATTAGATGTAAACTTTTCATCCATTACTTGTTCTAAAGTCTAACTCACATGTTATAGCACCAGTATCACAGGATGCATATTCTTGAAATGATGTGCCTGCTTTCAGCTGTCCCTAGTCATCTTCCCCTATGCTAAGGTCTGTTGCATCTTCATCATTACTGGTTAGATATAAATTGAATCCACATTCTTGAAAACAGTTCACTATTGTTATACGCATGACACAGCACTGTGATTTTGCCATGAAACGCTGTGCATACAAAACAAGTACCTTCATGAATGCTGGATCATGAAGCAACTTGTCATCAATCATACAAGTAGTTTTTTTTTACGATGCTTTCAGTAAGGGTATTTGAGTGACATGATTATTCCCTGCTCATGTGGTTGGAGAATGCTGGTGCGGTTTGGGGAAAGAACATAACTTTCTCTTTCTTTATGTATCTTGGGGATAAACAGCATACTAATAGACTTGAAAGGATTCTGGCGATGGTGTATGCTGTACAGAACTATTAGGCTTATTATGGACTCTATCCATCATTTGGATGGATAGAGTCCAAAAGAAGCCTAATAGTTCTAAACAGCATATTGGTCAATGAAAAGTAAAATATTTTTGTTTTTGGAACTAATTTTGGTATCTAATGCCCTTAAACAGTCAGTAAAGATGACCTGTGTAATCTGTGCTTTTTTGTTGGTTCTTTATTCTCTAGACAGCTTTCTGACATTTTTAAAGCAAGGGGGGTTTTCCAATCTCTCCAGTAAGTACTGGTGAGAGTTTGTAAATCCCATCGGCATTACAGACTAACAGAAACTTTATTCCCTGCATGGAATTAATTCCACCATTGCAAGGATCTTTCACATTCATTGTCTTGTTATGTGGAAGCCAGAATAACAGCCTGGTCTTATCAACATTATAAGTGTTCTTAGGCTCGTAACCTTCAGTAATTTTGAGTGTTTTTTTTCTTCAATAACACACTGTTGAAGAGTCTATATTTTTGCGTTCTCCTGATGCAGTGGTATATATGTGGTCTCTTCAGAAAGTTTTGGAACTCTTGAAATAATGCACAAACTCAATGTCTTGGCAATATCAAGTAAGTTGTTCTGTCTAGTGGCATTCTTCATAATTATTACCATTTTTGCTGTGATTTGTTATTGCACTAGAGCATTTTGTTCATATGCATGTAGAGTGTGTCTTGCAATTTTCGAGATGGCTGATATTCATGAGCAGCATACTAACATTAAATTTTGCTTCAAGCTAGGGAAAACATTTACAGAGACTCATGAAATGGGGAAAAACATTTATGGTGAACAGTGCATTGAGCTGTACATGTTGTTTTGAATTGTTTAAGCGATTTACGGATGGTCGGCAGTCTACACACGATGAGACATGTTTGGGATGACCCTCAACATCATTTGACGATGCTCATATTGCGCAAGTTCATGAAATCATGCATTCTGAGCATCATTTGACAGTGTGGGAAATTGCAGAACAGTGCAACATATCATTAGGATTATATCATGACATTCTTATGACAAAATAGAAATGCTTCACGTAGTTTCAAAGTTTGTCCCACTACTTCTGACATAATATCAGAGAATCACGTTGCCATCTGTCAGGAACTTTTTGCTCACCCTAGCAAGGCTGAAAACTTTCTGAAAGGAATTATAACCAATCATGAAGTGTGGGTTTATGGATACAACATGGAAATGAAAATGCAGTCTTCACAATAGGCTAAGAAAAAATCACCAGGACCGAAAAAGGCGAAGCAAATCAGGTCAAATGTCAAAGTTATGTTGACTTTTTTTTTTTTTTGACAATTAGGGTGTTGTGCATCATGAATTCTTATGACAGGGGCAAACAATGAATCACTTATATTTTGAAGTGCCAAAACATCTAAGGGAAAATGTTACGAAAAAAGACATCAGTTGTGGAGAAACAACTCCTGGTTCCTCCATCACGAGAATGTGCCAGCTCATTCATCACTACTGATTCATGACTTTTTGGCCAATATGAACACAACTGTGCTTCATCCGCCACCCTACTCACCTGTCTTGGCTCTGGCAGACTTCTTCTTATTTCCCAAACTGAAGTACACTTTGAAAGGATGGCAATATCAGACGATTCAAGAGATTATGAAAAATTTGCAGAAGGAGCTACACGTGATTAACAAATGGCATACCAGGACTGTTTTCAGAAGTGCTAACAACTTTGGGAGCAGTACATCAACGCAGAAGGGGAGTACTTTGAAGGCAGTAAGGCTCACTCAGTTGCAGACATGTCTGAAAAGATTATAAAAAATAGTTCCAAAAATTTTTGGACAGACCACATACACAGCACTGTGTTACTGCTTGAAATCACTGATCTAGCCATTAGAAGCTTTAAAATCTTGAATGCTGAACTGTGACTGTCCTTATTCCTGAACATTGGATGTCACTTGTAATAGTACCCCCAGGGCGCCACCAGTATTATTATTCCTCATGGGTGAACCGATGTCACGCGTTCGGAACCACTTGCGACTGTCTTTGGGCCCTTTCATTTTTCACTTCTCTGACTGTTACTCCTTTTCCTTTGCTGCTCACCTTGGCCATGTTCCTGGACACCTTCACTGAAGTTACACTACTGTTCTTCCCTGTCTCGTTGATATCGAGAAGTTACATGGGAAGGAAGGATAATTGTGGTTGCTGGTGCTAGTAGGCAAGAGTTCTTTTCATCTGCGATTATTAAGGTGTCTTGCAAGTAGGGAAAAGTTGGTAGTAGCTGGGTTTTCAGTATTGATAGAGGTGAGTGCTCATGGGGGTCTCATGGGCCTGGCTTGGGCAAGGCAGGCGGATTCTTATGCTACAGCCCCGTACACCGCTGCAAGACTGCACTTCAATTTATTATTTAATAACTCTTCTATAACACTGAACTTAACAGGAACTCACTTTGCTTACATTATGTGAATTTGAACTTTGTACAGATTATAACACCAGAAATTGTACTTTATCAAAGTGACGTAGTTTTTGTGTCTGAATGGGCTGAAAGTTGACTGAAGACTCCTGATGGAAAATGAACTCTCTGGAATCCTGAGGTCTGTGGAGCCACAGTATCCAAAGAAGTCTGCTGGTCCAAACATGTACTGTTAGTTCATTTTGAGAAATAGGTTTCCATAAATTAGTGACTTTCTAATCATGTTGTTTTTCTATGTAATTCTGGAAGTTACTGACCTAATACTAGAGCTGACAGGGACTTGATATATTAGGATCATGGGATGGAGCTCAGGCACTCCATCTTCAAAGTTATTGCCATTCCAAGTTATCAGCTCTTGAATTCTCAGAGGCCTACCGACTCCGCAGAACTACCAGAATTCCTGGAAACGTACCACATGTTACTTCCTGCCCACATAGTAAAACTGGAACTATGTCACTTCTGAGTGTATATATGCCCGGTCTTTATAGATTTAGTGGCCTTAACTTAATAAACTCTTTCTTAATATGAAATAGTTTGGGTCAGTTACAATAAATGGTCACAACCTATTCTGTCATCACTGTACTGCTTATTACTGCTTCTCTGCCTCTAGTTTTTTAAACCACACGACCAACACCCTGTCCAGTTTTTGAAATGGTGACTGTTTCAGGTTCTTCCTTCAGTCAGAGAACTTCCCATATTTTGTATAACACTTTTTGGTGTCTCCTGTTTTTAACTGTAGTCTTCAGTTTTGGAGGTGCCATTTCTAATCTGGCAACCACTGCAACGTGTTTCCTTATTAGCATTCATGCGAACTAGAATGCCTATTGTTTTTCTCATCATGATGTACAGCTAGTAGTTTGCAAACAAAAAGTAAAATAAAAATGGTTTGCCAAGTTAATTCACAGTAGATTTATGAAGTAATACAAACACAGTAACTTAATATTGCGTGTGGTACTTAAGTCACATATAACAAATTGTAACCATAAAAGTAAAATAAAACTGACAGTTCATTTCACAGTGGATTCAGAAAGCAACATGAACATAGCAATTTAATGAGCATGTGGAATTTGTGGTCTCTTATAACATATGAAATAATTCATATCTACACAGGCATGTTGATGGTAGAAACATGGTTCTGCTCCGTTGAGGTAACCTTGAAGCCATAGAATACTAGGGAGACAAAAGGACAACAGGAAATTATGGCTGATAAAATTGTTTTTTTATTTCAGATAAACCTGCTTAAAGCAAAAGCAACAAGCCAGTTTATGCTCAGTTTTGAATGAACAGTCGAGAAATTGGGTAGAAAGGACAAGAATATGTTCCAGGCAATTTTAATATTGTTGTTATGATAGTTTTGGTGGGACCAATAAAAATATGCATAGTATCAAACTGTAAATTGAAGGAAAATAAAATTCAGGTTTCTCTGTATTTAATAATCATTGCTGTGAGAACCTCAAATCTGAAAACCACAGATTGTTGCAAGTTGCTTAATAAACATAATCATTTTTGTTACAGAGAAGAGAACTATGATATTTTGTGTGTCACTGACTGGGGACAGTCACTATCCTTCTACACTATGGGTGGAAAACTGGTTGGCAAAGAGCGGAATATTGGATTTGACCCACTGTGTGTGAGCTACTTTAATAGAGGAGAATACTTATTGATTGGTGGTTCAAACCGAGTTTGTACCTTAATGACTAGAGATGGCATCAAACTGGGAACAGTTGGTGATGAACAAGCATCGTGGGTCTTGTGCTGTTCAGCTCGACCTGACTCATCATTCGTGGTGAGATTATATATAACAGTGAAACTTATTATGAATCCCTTATTAAAGAGTAATGAATTTTGTTTCCACCAACACAACAGAATTAATGAAGCCACTACTTTTTAGTCACTGAAATGAAAATTTATTCTGTTGAAAATTGCGTAAGTATGAAAGGAAAGAAAAGGTAAGAAAACAGCCCCATTAATTCTTTGTCCCCACAGGATATTGTATTGTGAGAAGACAGTCTGTTTAAATTCATCGACTTTGTCGGTGTTTCATAGCTTTCATCAGTATTTCTCCAGTCTTTGCATGTGACTGGACACAGGAATACACCATGTACCAAAATGATTGACGCAGTTTGGAAGTTATATAGTTGTAAATATTCTCGCATGTTGCCTATGTAACACGACAAGTAAATTCATGCGGGTCTCGGATTTGGCGAATAGATATATTGGACAATCTCTTTCACACTCACAAGTACAATCATTCACAACTTCACTGTTACAGTTACTTCCACCGCTATTCTCAGTGAAGTGTCTTGATCCATTTGTTGGATGTGAGCTTGCTTCTGCTCTAGTCGCAGCTACAGTAAAAACTGACGGGTCTCATCGAAGCTGGACTCTTTAAAACGTCCTTTCGGACTGAATAGAGTGCACCATATAGGAGGCTTTGGTTTCTGCCCGCTGTTATGCATCGAATGTAGGAATCCATTTCCACTGAAGTATACAATATGTTGTAACTATGGAAACTCCACTGTTAGATTGCTAGCCATTGGATAGTAATGCATGCGTTCCGATTGTAGCGTTGTAGCGGAAACGTTGCTCGTTACTTAGGAAATCAACCATGATCTCAACCATTCCGGCTTTCTGGCGGCATGCCACAATATGTTGTACATAATTATAAAAAGTAGAAGAAATGAAAGAGTAACTCTACTACTTTATAACACATACCCTTCAAGTGTTCGATGTGTGCAACCTTGGCCACAAGGCACATCCTAATAATAGTCTAATTCTTGCCACATTTTGATCAGTCCTGGTGTGATGGTCTCCACAATCATAGTAATCCTGTTCTGCAAATCAGGTATGCTCTCAGGTGGCAGTGGAACAAACACTTTGTCTGTCATGTACCCCAAATGGAAGTAATCACAAGGGGTTAGGTCAGGGGACCATGCAGGCCACGGACAGAAAATCAAGTCACCATGATCACCCCGTCCGATCCATCTGTGTGGAAGAACGTCCTTCAACCAGCAACAAGTCTTGAAGGAAATGAAGGGGAGTGCCCCATCCTGCTGCCAAATGAAGTCCTCTGGTTCATTCATTCAGTTTAGGGAAGAGCCATGTCTGTAGCATTTCAAGATAACTTGTTCCCATCACAGTGTCTTCATGGAAAACAAAAGGCCCATAAACCTTTCATGTGGACATTGCTGAAAAAATTGATCTTTGGAGAAGCCCTTTTGTGTTGCACTATCATGCAAAGATTTTTAATGCCCCATATATGCACATTATGCTTGTGCACTTTGCTGCTGAGGTGTAACATAGACTCATCACTAAATACAACACAATCAAGAAAACCATCCTCTGCCGTTTCCTCTTGCATCTTGATGGAAAAGTCTGTGCGTTTGATGTGGTCTGTTGGTTTTAGAAACTGCACCAAGTGAATACGATAGGGCTTCATTTCCAGTCTCTTGCAACACCCACCACACAGTCGTAGTTGACATCTCCAATTCATGATTCGCATGGCACTCAGATTTCTTTGGACTGTGAAAAAAAAGACTTGTATCACTCGTTCCACACTTTCTTCTGGCATATGCGGACGTCCTGCACTTTTCCATTTATAATGGCACCCCATTCTTTGAAACTGCTGTAGCTGACCAGTGACGTACAGTTGGCACAACTATCACTCGAGATCAGTTCTTTGTCTCAGGGATGTGGGTGCTTTGGATATGGGAGTGGAACACACTTCAGGGTTCATGAATTAAGGTGTCTCCAGAACACACACCATGTATTGCTATTTTACATTAAAATTGCGTACAGTGATTGGCAGTCTTTACATTAGTCCTCTGAGCTAGCTGCTCTGTCTATTCTACTCACTACTCCTACTGTAACACACTTCTCTGTTCTCTGTCTCCATTGTGCCAGCTATCAATGAAGACAAAATTAGGCTCTCTCGTCAGGTTCATCATCAAATATGGTGACTTAAAATTTCAGCATGAATGAACAAACTGTATAACAAACTTCAGTTGTGTGATCATATACCATGCCCAAGACCATACAGTTTTAAACAAAGAAAAATATGTGTATGGCATTTTTAATATAGAAACTAATTAAAAATCTTCATGAAATATGAAAATAAATGTAGAAGTGAAGTCTGCATTCAAGAAACTCTGCAAGAAAGGAAAGCAATGCAGGAGGAGGAGGAGGATTTATAATGTCCTGAACTAATATGGATTGTGTTTTATCTTCCTTGGTAGTGGATATTGTCGTCTATCCTTCTTGGCAACGTGTTCTTGTGTTTATTGGTGTAGTTTATATGTGTGCTGTGTTGCTCATCTTTATTATCTGGGTTACTTTTGTTTAATTATGTTATATAGATGTGTGATGTCTTCCTTTCTATAGCCATTATTTAGTTATATATTAATAATAGTATTTAATTCTTTGTTCTTCCTCGAGGGGTAGTGTGAGAAGTCTGTGTATCCAGTTTTTATATGCTGCTAATTTTTGTTCTTTAGGGTGGCATGAGTTATTATTTGTTGTTATGTCTGTCATTGTGGGTTTTCTGTATATTTCCATTTCTATTTGTCCATGTCTATTAAATATGTTTAAGTCCAGGTAGGCTATTTGATTATTTACTTCCTCATTTATTGTGAATTGCAGGTTTTTATGTTGTATGTTGAAATGTTAGAGAATGCACTGGGGGGGTTATTTTTGTTTGATTTTATATTATGAAGATGTCGTCTACATATCTGTTATAGTATGTAATTTTCTTGTCTTCCAGCAGATGTTTTATTCTGCTTTGTTCTATGTCTTGTAGGAAGATTTCTGCCACTCTACTTGATAAGGGGGAGCCCATGGCTACACCTGTTCTTGGTTTGTAATTTTTTCGTTATATTGAAAATAGTTTTGATTCAATATCATTTTAAGTATTGACATAATTTCTTTTATAATGCTTTTGTCTGTGTGATTATCCTTCAGTAGTTTATTGTTTACAGAAGTGTATCACTGATTGGGATATTAACGTAGAGGTCCTTAATATCCATTGTTAATAATTTATGATCCGGATTTAGTTTTAGTTTTCTTATGTTTTCTGCAAATTTTTTTGTGTTAATGATGTTATACTCATGTTTTAATTTTAGATAGTCATTTAGTCTTTGATGTATGTATTTAGTTAGTTTATGTGTGAGTGCATTAGTGTTGTTTATTATCGGTCTAATTGGGGCCTCCGGTTCATGAATTTTAATTTTTGCTTTCAGTTTGGGTGCTTGTGGGTTCATTTGGTGAACATGTTTTCTTTTTATTGGGTCTATTATAATTTTACATTGTTTTAAAGTGTCTTGTAATGTTCTTTGAAATTTTTGTGTAGATACATAGGTGAAGATAAGTAACCTGGATAATAAAGATGAAAAAGAACAAAAGTGGGTCACTTATACTTATACAACGATGTACATATTCTGTTTACAGTCAGTTTGGTTCAGTTTTTAGAACTTGTTCTTCATTTCTTAGAAAAGTAGCATCATTCTTGCTGTTCAGAAAAATTGGGGTTCTACAAATCATCATCAGTCATCCATTGATGTTTCCACCAGAGTAGGTGTTCTTGTGACAAAGACTTTTTCATTGTTGTCTGTCCTCCAGTATGCACATCTCTTATACTTACAAGTAATTATTTTTTTTAATTCGCTTAGTGGGGGGTGGAGTCCAGCTGGGTCCACTCAGCACAGCGGCCACTTATTGTCCTGTTGTACCTGACCCAGGTGATTATGATGATGGAGAATTTGGTGGAATGAAGATTGGCAGGGGAATCGGAAGTACTTGGAGGAAACCCGCCCCAGCGCCAGTTTGTCCCCTACAAATCCCACTTGACTAGGCCCAGGATCAAACCCAGGCCACCACGTTGGGAAGCATGTCTGCTCTTCATGCACTCAGTTTCGTATATTTTCTCACGCTTCATTTCATGTTACCAGTGGTTTCATTTTTTAAGCTTAGTGGAATCATAGGAAAGACTGAATGATAATTGTATTTTTTTATTATTTTATCTAAGGTCCTGTTAAGATGACCCTGATTCTTGGTTTTTTTCAGGCTATTGGCTGTCAGGATGGCACCATTGCTTACTATCAGCTTGTTTTCAGCATTGTTCATGGACTCTACAAGGAAAGATATGCATTCAGGTCAGTTGAAGTTCTGTGTTTATAGTAGTTGTTATTGAATGCAATGATGTGGGTTTTTATAGGTGATATTTAACACAGGAATGACTAGTTTTTGTGGTCATTGCTGTTCATCACAGGAATGATATTGTATTCATGGTAGGTTCAGTGCTGTGTGTAAGTAATGCCCCTATGTTGGGTTAATCTTGTGGTGTCCATGCCTTTAGCACATAGTACATTCTCCCTACCCAGGTCTCCCCACTATCCTTCTCCTTTCATGAGGTTTTTCCTTGGCCCTCATGGGCATTGCCTGCACAGATCATTAATCAGGAGGTTCATTTTAAATTGTTATCTGGTTTCTTTGTTTTAAAACGGTTTCAAGCCCTATGTTTCCTCTTAGGTGAGTAGCCAGTCCATACGCTACCTATCAAAATAAATGTGTTGTGTTTCCTTTAAGCTGGGATTTGTCACAAGATGGTAGATAAATAATTTCGGGTTTGCTAGGTTTGGCATAAATTGTTTGGCTTTCTGATTCAAGTTGTTGTTGTTTGTACATTTGGTTTGTTCATGATATACTCATTTTGTTTCTTGCTAAGTTCAATATTTATAGGATTGGAAGTTCTTGTGGTGGTTATGAAGAGTTCTGTCTTCTGGGATGTAACGCTGTATATTCCATTGAAAGTCANTTTAAGCTGGGATTTGTCACAAGATGGTAGATAAATAATTTCAGGTTTGCTAGGTTTGGCATAAATTGTTTGGCTTTCTGATTCAAGTTGTTTATTGTTTGACTGTGAATATGGAGGTGGTATATTCCTTTGAAACATTGTTTGACTATAACTGTACTACATGGCATTGTATCCCAGAAGATAGACCTCTACATAAGTTATTTATATTTGTTTTCTTTAGATATATATGATACCATAGTCAATAAGTTCGTGGACTGACCGCAAAGCGTTGTTGCAGTGCACTACAGTGGATAGCTTGAGACATGATATGATGCCCTGTTAGTTCATCTCTTGTCACAGCAAGAGGCAGTTGTGTGCAAACAGTGTAAGTAGACCTACGGCCTCTATTGTGAACTGCAGTTACATGCGACTGGTGGAAATTGAAAATGTGGCAGTTTGAACAACAGGCAAGCATCAAGTTCGTGCCAAAAACTAGGCAAATCCCATAGCGAAACGTTTGGTGTAGAAAGGATTGGCTGTTGCTACATGATGACGCCCCTGCACATCGCTCTGTTCTTGTCCAAGAGCAACTGGCAAGGCAACAGGTCACCGTTTTGCCACACCCTCCATACTCACCCCGATCTCGCACCATGCAATTTCTTTCTCTTTCACAGCTTGAAAGCAAAGCTACGTGGTCGTAGATTTCAGTCATCTGAGGAGGTCGTCAATGCCACAAGAGATGCCATACAGGAATTTCCCACCAGTATGTTTTAGTAATGTTTTTGGCAGCTATATCAATGTTGGCAGGCTTGCATAGCGGCCAGTGGCAACTATTTTGAGGGCCGATGTGATCTGTGTAAGTGCATATGAATACCTTGTAATATGATGCGATAAAACCACAGTCCACAAACTTAATGACTGTACCACATATATATCTGAAGGGTCATTCCACGTGAAATCATCCAGAGAGGTCGCTCACCATTTTTTTAAAAAAATATATTTTGTACACTTATTTATACATATTTTCATACTACAAAAATATTAAAAAAAAATTGTAATCCGCTCGGTTCTCCCAGTACAGGCGTTTTTATAATGCGAAAAAACGCGTTTTTTGGCTGAAATGGAGGTTTGCGTTATCTTCCATATCTCGATAACAATTGAAGCTAGAAACTCCAATAAAAACGCAATTTGTTCCTCATGATATGGACTACAAATCATGTTATTACAAGTTTTTATGCAGCTCACTTTCTCTAGGTGTAATTAAACTTGAAACTTACCTATCGATTTTGGGAAAAACGCTATTTTTGACCTTCAAAAACCAGTGGGAGGGGGAAAGTATCAGATCTGTGGTTTCTACCCTTTGTTGTTACCTACATGGGGAATATAATCACGTAGTTTTTAATCCCGTACCTAGTTTCCAGAATTTTCCAGGAACTTCCAAGGCCCAAAATCGGCCTTTTTTAACATCTCATATCTCCGGTAGGGAAGCTCCGAAAATTTTGAAATTCATAGAAAATAATGCTCTATTCTAGAGTAACTTGGAGTTAAAATTACAACTTTGATATTGAATTAATAGCGAAGTTTTTATAATGCGAAGGAACGTGTTTTCGGCTGAAATGGAGGTTTGTGTTATCTTCCATATCTCGATAACTATTGAAACTAGTGACTCCAATAAGAAACCAATTTGTTCCCCATGATATGGACTATAAATCATATTATAATAGGGTTTTACTCAACTCTCTTCCTCTAGGTCTTATTAAGCTCGAAAGTTACCTGTCGATTTTGGGAAGAACGCTATTCTTGACCTTCAAAAACCAATGAGAGGGGGAAAGTATCAGATCTGTGGTTTCTACCCTTTGTTGTTACCTACATGGGGAATATGATCACGTAGTTTTGAACCCCGTACCTAGTTTCCAAAATTTTCCAGGAGATTTCAAACTTTACTCTGGGCCCAAAATCATCCATTTTTAACATCTCATATCTCCGGTGGAGAAGCTTCGAAAATGTTGAAATTCATAGCAAATTATGCTCTATTCCAGAGTAACTTGGAGATAAAATTACAACTTTGATATTCAAATAAGAGCGAAGTTGTGGGCGCCTTGAATTTTACCTAAGAAAGCAGTACCTCGATAATTGGCCTACCTGCATCCAGTGGTATTGGCGGTTCTTTATTTGGTATAAAAGACGAGAGATCTATCTTTTGTCATTCACATCATTTTCAGGCCTATACTTACTGCTCGGAATGACATGTTTTCAACACTCGGTTCTTAGCTGGCTATGAACATGGATGTAGGTTTCTTATTTCACGCCTCGTGTGTTTTGACATCTGAACCCAAACTTTTGTAATCTTGAAGAAAGCAGTCTTCTGGGATATGGCACCATGTATATGTGGTGTTAACTGACGTTTTGGAGGAACGTATTGCCTCCATCTTCGGGGCAGAAGGAAAAATATAAGAAATCCACAGGCGAAGAGACTGTGAGAACTGGTAAAAGCAGACTTGCTTCTACCCTGAAGATGGAGGCGATATGTTCCTCCGAAACGTCGGTTAACACCACATATACATGGTGCAAAATCCCAGAAGACTGCTTTCTTCATAGTCACCACCGTGAAAACCTCAAATCTTACATTTTTTAATCTTGATGTTGGTGTTTTGCTGCTTTCTCAGCAGCTTTAAGTATGGATGAAGCATTCACATGAATGTTGTCTTGAACTGTAAGTCAGTGTATGTTCAGCAAGTGTAGATCTTTCAGGTGTATCAAGCTCGGTATTCTCCAAGTCGAAAGTAAAAACTTTTTGAAATGGAATGTTCTATAGGTGTTGTCACACATGAAGAATGTCATAAGACTACGTATGGTGCCTTCAACAAACAGTTAACGCTTGTGAGTGAATTGAGTAAAGAGAAACATACTGTTTTAAAGTTAAGATTGGGTGAATGCGATTTGAGTTCCTTATGCAAGCATCATGAGATTAAGTATTCTGTTAAATACAATCACATGTTTGGAAATATTTGTTGTGACCCGCTAAAAGTGAACAAACGAACCATTAAGAAAGGTTTACGTGTAATTTCATTAGAACATCTGAAGAAAGAAAAGAAGTTTCCTGTAGCTCTAGTACCAGGTAAATCCTTGTGTCCTAATTGTTACACAAAGATTTTTGTTCTTAAAACCGTAAGTGCTTCTGGAAGGAATGAGTTTGCACCTATGCAAGAAAATCTGTCAGAATTAGAAGCAGTCTGTTCGGCTCTAGATATTTCTCCTATGGCTAACATTATGAAGATGAATACTGGGAAAAGACCTGCTGCTTTATCAAAAAAATGTAGAAGAATATCCGACTCTCTTCGAAGGAAATTAGCAAGTTCATTTTCAGATGACTCGATGGATCTTGATTCAGATGAACAAATACCTTCCCCTGCATTAAGTGAGGAGTATGAATTGTTGATTAACAAATTAAAGGAAAAATGTTTAATCTCAAGCAAATAAGAAAAAATTAAAATCATTAGCTTATTGCCAACTTCGTGGTCAAGACAGAAGATAAGTAAAGAATTTCAAGTTTCGGAGCACTTGGTTACAATTACTGGAGCGCTTCAGCAGACGCAAGGGATCCTTCCGGATTTAGGCAAAAGGCAGGGTGAGACAGTTAGTGATGAAACAATTGAGGCTGTCACAGAATTTTATGAAAACAATGAAAACAGTAGGATCTTCCCTGGAAAAAAGGATTGTGTGAGTGTTAATGTGGGAGGTATCAAAGAGTGTATGCAGAAACGGCTGATACTGTGCAGTTTGAAGGAACTTCACATTCACTTTAAGAATACTAAACCTGAACACAAAATTGGTTTCTCCAAATTTTGTGCACTTCGACCGAAGTGGTGTATCATTGCTGGTGCATCGGGGACTCATGCCGTTTGTGTGTGCAGCTATCACCAAAATGTTAAGCTGATGCTAGAGGGAGCAAAATTGAATTCGGACTACAAGGATTTATTACATATAATGGTTTTGTGACATTGAAAGTTATAAGTGCATGAGTAATGAATGAACAGACTGCCCTGGAGAAGAAATTCTGACAGAATTGCTATCGGCCAAATGAGAGAGCATGGCCAGTCAAATAGCCTACAAACAATTAGTCAACACAGACAGAGCTAATATGATTTCTGTAATGCAGATTTACAGTGAATTCTGCGAATCTCTAATTGAAAAACTGACAGAACTGAAAAAACATCGCTAAGTGGCTAAAATTCAGTCACGGTATTTGAAAGAAAAGAAGGAAAGCCTGAACGAAACACAGTGCCTTGTTCTTGCAGATTTTGCAGAAAACTGTTCGTTTCTCATTCAAGAGATTCAAAGTTTCCACTGGGTAAATGAAAAGGCTACAATTCACCCTTTTGTGTGTTACTACAAGGCGGACAGTATAGCAAAATGCCGAAGCTTGTGTATAATCAGTGATCATGTAAAGCACGATACAGCCACAGTTTATGTGTTCCAAAAATATCTTATCACTGATGTAAAAGAAAATGTGCCTTCAGTCAGGAAAGTTATTTATTTCAGTGATGGCGCTGGAAGCCAATATAAGAACAAAAAGAATCTTTCCAATTTGATTTGTCTCATTCTGGTCCGTCACACTAACAATCACAAAATAGATAACTTACAGTCAAGTGCGACACACAAGTTCACCACACTTCGGTCTTCACTCGCCTTACATGTTTCGAGGATCGAAACATGCATGCTGTGTCGTATGTACATATGACACAGCACGCACGTATACTACACAACTAACAATAAGAACACACAACGCAGAGAAATATCAACATCTACCATCCGGAGAAACAGCAACATAACCCAATGTTGGTTCACGATTTTAACATAATAACTAACTTTTTAAACACAAAAGAATTTTAACACAATTTTAAATACATACGGAAGCTATTTTAAGAAAAGTAAACATCACATTGCGTGCCGTGGGAAATTCCAATCGAATACCCAGAAAAGACGCCTAAAAAAACATCTTATGTAAATCTACACATCAACGTGAATGCAAAAGGGCAAATTGTAATACAGTGAGCACTATTTATAACCTTAGTGCATAATGTCAAATCTTATGTGACAGTGTTTCCTGCTCGTACTGGTGCGCCTCTGAAGATGATTCTATTGAATCGAAACATGTAAGGCGAGTGAAGACCGAAGTGTGGTGAACTTGTGTGTCGCACTGGACTGTAAGTTATCTATTTTGTGAGAATCTTTCCAATTGATGTCATCACTATGAAGACTTTGTACTTTAAGCAGAATGGAATTTTTTTGCCACCTCGCACAAGAAGAATGCCTGTGACAGTATTGGCGGCACCACGAAGAGGCAAACAACAAAAGCCAATCTTCAAAGAACTCGTTTTAATCAAATCATGTGCCCGCTAGAACTGTACAAATTCTGCACAGAAAATATCTCAGGGATAGTTTACTTTTTGTGCCAACAGATGAAGTTGTAAGAAATGAAATCATTCTAAAAAGCAAATTCCAAAATTGCAAAACTGTACCCCACACAAGAGAAAAACACCGGGTCCTCCCTCTGAAGGAAAACACGGTCAGGTGTTATAAAACATCCAAGTCCGATGATTTCGAAGACATCGTGGTAGTGGACAATTTCATCAGAGTACACAAAGAACTAATACTACTGGATGCAGGTAAGCCAATTATCGAGGTATTGATTTTTTGGTAAAATTCAAAGTGCCCACAACTTCGCTCTTATTTGAATATCAAAGTTGTAACTTTATCTCCAAGTTACTCTAGAATAGAGCATTATTTGCTATGAATTTCAAAATTTTCAGAACTTCTCCACCGGAGATATGAGATGTTAAAAATGGATGATTTTGGGTCCAGAGTAAAGTTTGAAATCTCCTGGAAAATTTTGGAAACTAGGTACGGAGTTCAAAACTACGTGATCATATTCCCCATGTAGGTACTAACAAAGGGTAGAAACCACAGATCTGATATTTTCCCCCTCCAATTGCTTTTTGAAGGTCAAAAATAGCGTTCTTCCCAAAATCGATAGGTAACTTTCAAGCTTAATTAGACCTAGAGGAAAAGAGTTGAGTAAAACCTTATAATAATATAATTTATAGTCCATATCATGGGGAACAAATTGATTTCTTATTGGAGTCTCTAGCTTCAATAGTTATCGAGATATGGAAGATAACGCAAACCTCCATTTCAGCCAAAAACATGTTTTTTCTCATTATAAAAACGTCTGTACCGGTAGAACCGAGCGAATTACAATTTTTTTAAAAATATTTTTGTAGTATGAAAATATGTATAAACAAGTGTTCAAAAGATAATATTTTTTAAAAATGGTGAGCGACCTCTCTGGAGGATTTCACATGGAATGGCCCTGAAGACAACAAATATATATGTATATCTGACTACTGATAAAATGAATATATATTAATTTTATCAGTAGAGACAGATTTCCACTTTGGGCTCTATTTGCATGCCACATACCTCCTTACATATAACCCACAGTAAGCAGAGGAGGCAGGAAAGGATGAAGCATGGTAGTGCGGTCTATTAAGTACATGAATGATTTGTGTTTGTGGTAGACGTTACTGAACATGGGAATGTGTGTCAATTTAATTTCTGACTTACAGGGAGAACATGACGGATGTTATCATCCATCATCTCTTAACAGATCAGAAAGTGAGGATAAAGTGCCGAGATCTGATAAAAAAGATTGCTATTTATAAGCATAGATTGGCTGTAAGTATAGTGCACCTTTAATAATTTTCCTGTTGGTCAAGGGCAGGGGTGTTCATGTTTCTAGACGCATAGGCCACATTGAAAGAATGAAGCCCATACTTAAGGGACTTGCATTATATGTTTCCATGCATTTTAAGTACATTTTTTTGTGGTCCCAGGTGAAGCTTCGTATGCCTGATATATTATTCTCCTTTATTTAGAGTTTCGTAATTTACGGGTTTACCTGCATTTTACCTAAAAGACTTTTATTTATGTGCAAGTTTGGATTTCATTATAGCATTGAAGGGAATTTCTTTGCATGTTCAAACTTGCATGTGGCCACCCGTGCATGGTTCAAGGTTTTCATTTGTATGGCATGCAAAGTAGTGAGACTGTCTGTCCTTTATTCATCTTCATCATCAGTTGGAAGTCGTTGAAAAGATGTAAGTTAATAATAAATTCAGGATGTGGATAAGAATCAAAATGTGTCATGAAATGAAATAGCAAAGCACTTTGTGCTGCTTCCATCATCATAAGTGGCAGAAAGAGGAAGAAGAAAGTGTGTAGGGCACATAATGAGAGGTGAAGAAAATTAAAAGTTTGCCATATGACCTTAAAGCCTTATTAGTACTGTGTTTCCAATAGATGAGGTTTGAAAATGTTCCAATTAATTGGCCATGTTATGTGGAAAGCAACTAGGTTTGTATTTAAACTAAAACTTTAGAATTATGAAATCTTAAGTGAACAGCTGGAAGAAGCTGTAAAACATTGGAAGGAATCTGTACGTAATCTACTGTAACGTTATTAACCAAGGAACTTATTTAGTAAGGATGAAATGGGAATGTTTAAAAACCTACTCCCAAACAACACCTTCACCATGAAGGGGGAACCATCTCATGGAAGCAAATGAAGTAAAGAAAACTGACCGTGTTGCTTTGTTGTAATTCTGAATGAGAAGATAAAACGTTTGGTAGCATGCCAAGTCAAGGTGTTCTAAAAACATAAACTCGCTGTCATGCAGATATACACACAATGACAAAGCAGGGGTATCAGTAACAGTATTTTGAAACTTTTTAACTCTTTGACTGGCGCGGGCGTGTTTTTATGCCTGGACAATGCCAGCCCTGCCCTGGCATTGGCGTGTTTTAGCGCTTTGATACACTCTTCCCTTCTTTGCTCTCTTGGCACTCATCAACCAAAGACATATATATGATAGTTTTTGTGCATGGTTGTAAAGAACCCTTGTTTACTTTGTGGGGGTCTATATTACTGTCAGAACCCTCCGAGAAGGAAGAGGTCAGAAAATATTTCACATTCATTCAGTTTCACAATGGCTTCTCGCAGCAAGTGTCGGAGTGGTCCTACAGACCAGCTGGAAAGTGTGTGAAGGTAAGAAGAGAACAAATTAGAACCATGACGTAGTAGCTAGGAAGCAGAGTTTGTCATATTGAATAGGTTAGATGCAAGGTGGAGTAAATGATGTCTCTGCAGTATCCTCTTAAGTGGCTGAATGTCTCCACAGCTTACCATGGTGTCTTAGTCAATAAAGTGAGCAGCTGCAGAATGAATGACTAAGATTAAATTTGAGAGAGGGCAAGGATAGCTCTCAGACCTGTCTAATGCTCTTTCTCCAAGGGTATGGGTCATCTGAGAGAAACATGTTTAGAGTGCATGCAGATTTGTCTCCATGCCTTTACATTATAACAGACTGCATTCACTTCACTCCATCTTTTTCATGGGGGCGCAGATGTGTGGTTCATTTTTATGGGTGGAATATTGATTATTATAAGACTTGCATATGAAATACAATAAAACTTATTTACAAAAATTAATGAATTGAACAGAAGCCTGCCTCCATTGCAGAATTTCCCTGGCCCTGTAAATGTTAAATGTATTTACCATTAATGAAGAGGAAAATGAAGAATGTAATATTCAGTTAATTTTGTTCTCTCTCACTTCTGGAGTTTATCAGAGAAGAAACATTTCTGTCATAAATGAGAAAGAATTAAATCCACCTACCCAATATGTACAAAGTAATCAGCTGCTGAAGGAAATTTTTGAGTGCTCAATGACAGTGTAATATGCATATGTAGGATAGGTTTCTGAAATATTTTTTATGTATAGTTTTATTATATAGGAATAATCAGCTTAAGCATGTCTCAGATTTTTTATGTATAGTTTTATTATATAGGAATAATCAGCTTAAGCATGTCTCAGTTTGCTTTATTTGCCATATTATTATTTGATTTCTGTAATCAGGTTCAGCTCCCAGAACGTGTGGTTATCTATGAACTGCATTCTGGAGACTCAACAGGAATGCTTTATCGATCAAAGGAGAAGATAAATCAGAAACTGGAGTGCAATCTGCTTGTTGTCTGCACCAGGCACTTGGTTCTGTGCCAGGAGAAACGACTGCAGTGCCTCAACTTTGAAGGGGTTAAAGAAAGAGAATGGGTAATGGAGTCTCCCATTCGTTACATCAAAGTTGTGGGTGGCCCTCCAGGTCGAGAGTGTCTTCTTTTGGGTCTAAAGAATGGTCAGGTGTGGAAAATCTATTTGGATAATGCATTTCCTGTGAGCCTTTTGAAAGCTTCTTCTGCTATCAGATGTCTGGATTTGAGTGCATCAAGAAAGAAACTTGCAGTTGTGGATGAAAATAACCAGTGCTTGGTGTATGATGTGCAAAAAAAGGAACTTATATTCCAGGTAATATGTCACAATATGAAATATAGAATATTCATATTTCTGTGTGGTAATAGAATTCATTGGAACATGGATATTTTGGGAATTATAAATTTTTTAAAATATTCATAATGGATTCTCATAATGAATTTGATTTGTTTCATTCTGGTCCATCACACTAATGGTTACAAAGACAGAAACAACACCGTCCAGTGTGACTATTTAAGTTTTATCACTTGAAAACTCATCACCCTTACATGTTTCGATCCCTATGGTCATCTTCAGAAGGCATCAATACTTTTTCCGGAAAGTACTGTTACAATAGGTGTTAAATTATATACATACACATATAATGTCTGAAATACACAATGTACATAATGTTCAACTTTTCACAGTCACAGCAGCCTTCCTGGTATTAAAATTTTTAAAGTTTTTTAAAAACTTTGTAGTTTAAGATTAAAATTTATAAACCATGCATGTTCGTGTCAGTTCTCCTGTTGTCTTTCTTGAAGGTGGCTGATCTTGTGCCGCCTGTCTATCTTGCTGTGTACTGCAGTACAAAGTACAAAGGACACAGCACACACGTAACATCATAACGCATATAAGCCCACACACCACCAAGAATGATGACTCCCATCCACGGGAAGAATTGACAACCAACAACGGCTTACGACAATTTGAATTAAATTTTAAATAGTTTAATCATGATTTTAACCAAACATAAGAAATTTACTGTGGGAAAAAGTGATAATTCCTGTGCTGCGTATAGCCTATTGGCATACTCAATTATTTTGCATGTTTATGTTTTTATACAACAACGGGTGCCATCGTAACTAAAATTTACGACAATAATATGAAACATACATCTGTGAATAACACAACTGAAAGTGAACACCAAACCAGCTAAATTAACAGTGTCTCCTGCCGTATGAAAAGTGCCTCTGATGGTTTATTGAACCAAAACATGTAAGGCAAGAGTAATAAAAGTGATGTGACCTATATTGCCGCGCTGGACAGAAACGTCTATTAATTTTCTAACTTAATAGTGCAGCGGACCAGAATGAGACAATTCAAAATATTAATGGACATTTAAGACTTTATGTGCTATAGTTACAGTAATCCTGAGAGTGTAAGAACTGTTGTAGTTACGACTAGTGAAGATCCAATAAAGTGATTCACCAATCCAAAGCCACATCTGTAGTCACTCCTGCACATGACAGTATGCTGAAATATTGGAATAACTTTAACACATGATGTGGCTAAACCCTGTATGCTAAACATATGCATTGATTTAAAGTTTGGTGGGTGGGGGGGTCATACAGACATAATGCTGTATGCCTATATTTGCTTGTAAAAGAAGGAAAATAGGTCAGTGATAAGTATCATTATTATGGAAACACATTGCCATTAAAATACTATGATGATTTGCCTGTCCTACATAAAACTATAATGTGTATTTTTCTTTCAGGAACCAAATGCCAACTCTGTTGCTTGGAACTCAAATTGTGAGGAAATGCTTTGTTTCTCAGGAAACAACATTCTAAGCATAAAAGCAAGTAAATTCCCAGTGCACCAGCAGAAGTTCATGGTTAGTTTCTGAAGACCGGAGCCTATTAAAATAAGTCCCATATATTACTTGTGTTCTAAAGCACTATTTCAGTTACAATTTCTGTACTGGTACAAGTAGTTTTTTTTTTCATAACAGCATGAGTAGGGCTTTAAACAGGATGAGTGGTTAATGTAGGAACCACAGTGAACTGTGGACAAAGTGGTCAAGTGGCTAACAATTTTAACATGAAATAGCAATCAATTTTGGGGCACACAATGTAGATACACTTGTACTGTGCTACTTGTTAGTCTTACAGTTAGAGTCGTGATATTTTAAATTATATGGACTTGGTTTTCATGTGGGTCAATTTTTTTTGCCACTAGTACCTTGAAATGTGTTTGCATTTTTCAGTGAACGAAAAACTACTTATCAGATCTTTTGCATTCATCAGATACTGGTGAAAAAATTGGAGTACAATGAGACAGTATACTTGTATCAGCTATTTGTAGACTTCAAGAAAGCCTATTATTCAGTTAAGAGGGAACTATTGTACAATATTGTGATAGAGTTTGCTGTACCCATGAAACTGGTTAGGCTGGTTAAAATGTGTTTAAAGGAAATGTATGGTAAAGTCCGTATTGGTAAACATCTGTCTGATAATTTCCCTATCCAGAATGGTCTAAAACAAGGAGATGCTTTATCACCACTCCTTTTCAACTTTGATTTAGAATATGCCATTAGGAAGGTCCACGAAAACCAGGAGGGACTGAAATTAAATGGGACACATCAGCTGTTCTGTGCTGATGATGTGAATCTACTGGATGATAATATAGATGCCATTAAGAAAAACACACAAACTTTAATAGACCCTAGTGAGGAGGTTGGTCTAGAAGTAAACACAGAGAAAACTAAATATATATTGCTGTCTCATTACCAAATTGCAGGGCAAAATCATGACATAAAGATAGGTAACAGATGTTTTGATAATATTGCACAGTTTAGATATTTGGGAATGACAGTAACAAATCAAACCCTGATTCAGGAGGAACTTAAGAGGATATTGAACTCAGGTAATGCTTGCTCCATTCAGTCCAGAACCTTTTTATCTTCTCGTCTGCTGTCAAAAAAATAAGAATTAGAATATACGAAGCTCTGATTTGTCCTGTGGTATTGTATGTGTGTGAAACTTGGTGTCTGACATTAAGGGAGGAACATAGACCGAGGGTGTTTGAGAACAGGATGTTGAGAATATTTGAACCAAAGAGGGATGAAGTGACAGGAAGTTGGAGAAAACTGCATAATGAGTAGCTTCATAGCTTGCACTCTTCTCCAAGTATAATTAGAAGGATGAAGTCAAGGAGGGTGAGATGGGTGGGCATGTAGCAGGAATGGGGGAAGAGGAATGCATAAAGGATATTGGTGGAAAGCCAGAGGGAAAGAGACCTTTCAGAAGACCAAGGCATAGGTGGTTGAACAATATTAAAATAGATCTTAGAGAGATAGGATGCGATGGTATGGATTGGATTGATCAGGCTTGGGATAGAGACTTGTGGAGTGCTCTTGTGAACACGTGATGAACCTTCGGGTTTCATAAAATGGTGGGAAGTTCTTGAGTAACTGCACAATTTGCGGCTCAGCTCCGTGAGTGGGTGAGTGACAGTTTTCCTGAGATGACTGTAATTGATCTACACATGGAATGAGAAGATACTGGTAGTGCCAATTTGTTGGAACAGTACCACCATTATTTCTCATAACATTCAAGTTAAAATGTTTTGGGGCTGAGTTCTTGAACACAAAACATCCCAATTAAAAGGCTGGAGGGATAGGCATTCCACTGTCTCCCATTGTTGTGGATGCATGTTTACTACTCCGTTAGCTGGCAGCATGCTTTTGCTTGGTGCAGACCGCATAGAAAACACAGTTTCCTGTCTGTTGTTGCTGTTTGTTTATTGAGCAGTTGTTTAGCAACGCACTGATCAAATCTGTTTCATACTTATAATAATTTTTTATGTATTTAACAGACTTTCATTTGCAATATGTTGCAACAGATAACAGATGAGTAGTCATATATTGGAAAGGATATGGAAGGAAATGGTTATAGCCTAATTTAGGGTATTTGCTAAGGGAGCTGAGGAAAGTTACATGAAACTTCATTCAGTATAGCTGGTCACTGAGCTGTAATTTATACCTGAGATCTGTGTATGAAGCGGGAGTGCTAAGCATTTGATGGTGACAGTCTGTCAGTTCCTGGTTAACTAACAAGCTGTACTGTGCTCTGTTCTACTCTTAGATTTATTTACTTTTAAGGTAATGAAAATCTGTCAGGCAGAGTGGCTTCAGATTATTGACTCTGAAAGTGTTTTGATTTTTTCAGTAATATCTTTTCCATCCTATAGAAAATTTGACCTTAGCTGAAGCTGCTGTGGCTTATCTTTCAATGGCATGTCCCAACATGTGGAAAAGAATCACTGGGGTTTTGGACTTTTTCCATCATCCGGAATTTTAGGTAATAGAGGAGATGACATTTTGGACATTGGATCTGTTTCCGTCTTCAGCTGAGAAAGGAAGACACCTACTCAGTTGGGCCCCTTAGAAATAGCTAATTTCAATCACTGGACGAAACGTTGTGTCCTCTATTACCTAAAATTCCGGACAATGGGAAGAAGTCCAAAACCCCAGTAATTCTGTGTGTGATCCACCATCGTCAGAACCGTTTAGAATCTACAAGTGGAAAAGAATTGTAATAAAAGCTTCATGATAACAGATTAAACATTACATTTTTCATCTGAGGAATGTGAATGCAGCATCTCTCTTACACCTGGAATGTTGCTTCATTATTATTGAGTTCACATCTCAAGTCTGAATATTTGGGCCAGGGGCCTAGAAAGGGGCCATTATATGTAGGATGAATGCAGACANCGAGGCTACATAAGGAGCAGCGAAGGCTATTCACAGTCAGTTGAAACATAGCAGCCTGCGCGTGTGCGATAACCAGTGATAACCAGTCATATCTGGAGTGTGTACTTCAGGGAGACTTGTATAGCTCCCGCATTATTAGTACGTGAAGACTCTCGAAGAGAGTGTTAAGAGATTTTGTTGTAGGGTTTGTAAAGAGTGGAAACCCGTAACATTGTTATAATTAATTGTAGCCGATAGTTGTAGATTGTCGAATAAACCAATTAACGATCTCTACGGCGTATTCAGTAACACAAACACGTTACACTGGTGTCAGAAGTGGGATCAGTAACGAAACACGTTACACTGGTGTCAGAAGTGGGATTTGGACTTACACACGTGACCGACGAGATTCGATCTCAAGACACGTGACAATATATTGAATGTTACAAGAACATGATACAGCAGCACTTGGTCCAGAGTCTGGCTGTCAAGTGTGGGGTTTCTGTGGTTTCCTTCAGTCATTTGAGGCAAATAATTTTATAGTAACTAAAATTTTGCCTCAACTGCTTCCTTCTTCTTTCTGTCCAATTCAGTAATTGCTAATCATTTTACTGTTTGATGCCATATATTCTAAAATACCAGCAGTGTCAATAAATAAGCCATAACCAATGGTTCTTCATGGAGAATATACAAATCAACAAAAACGCTGTAGGATTTAAGGTTCTCAGAGTGGTCGTTATAAACAGTTCTGTCATCTGGAGTATAGCACCTTGCAGTCCATTGAAAACCACCTGATGTTTCAGTTGAACATGTTACTTCCAGACAGGCTCTTCTTGCCATCTACTTCATTCTGGTTGCTTGCTTCAATTATTCTTTGACCCTGAAGGCAGAAGTGTCATGTGCATCTGACACAGTTGATTTTCATTGGATTACATGGTGTTATATCCCAGAAGCTGGAACTGTTCTTAAAAAACAAAAGCTTTTCTTGCAGTTACTCATAGCTCATGATGAGACAAGCTCACTTCATGACTTTTGGGTGTGGCTGATTTATTCTAGAAAATATTTTTGCTGTTGCAAAGACTGAAAAATATGTGTTTGTCCTTGTTGCTAACTGTATCAAACTCATACTGTGTGCAAAAATGTCAATGGTATAAGAGGCATTTGGATCAGGTGCTCAAGTTTTACTCCACAAGTACTAAACATTGAATTATGCTGTAACATCAACAGCAAGATTTCAGATTATTGGTTGCATCTGGGGAGCAAGGAAATTAAGTCATATAAATATGTAGTGATTAGACCAAAGCATATTGCATCATGCTTCTAGAAAAAATGAGTCCTGTGTTGGCAGATTCTTGTATAGGTAGGATTGATTTTCTGCTACGCAACCTGTTCATTTATGTACTAAACTTTTTGTAGTGTGTATAACTAAAAATTCTCCATCAATCTTCAAATAGTGAAACATGAAAACATTTAGTCAGATGATACCAGTAACTGCTGTGTTGCTGCTCAGTATCATTACAAATTTTTAAGATGTGTACATTTTGACGGAGTGAAGTGCACACGCAGAGAAGAGTACAGTTAAATTCACTCGAGCTGCATGCCAGGATTTTAAATTATCTGTCTCATTCCAGTGTATATCAGTGCCCTAATTACTATATAATCTACTTACAGAAACAAGTTTTTTTAAATATTGTGACATGATGCCTGAAAGCCAGAATAGTGGAACCAGAATCAGATGTCCATTAGTGAACAATGACTAAATGAACAATGGTTTCTATTACAGTGGCTATCTAAAACACTTTTCTGCGACAACCAATATGCTGGTAGAAATCAAAGCATTGCCTGGAGATTGTCACACTTTTTCGTGGCAACAGATGAAACAGATTAACAGAGAACACCCAGCAGTTCTACTTGGTGATCTATATTCGGTCCTCATGAAGTTAGTTCAGTCTGGGATCCAGAATTTGAGAAACTAGAGACTCTACAAGATTCATTCGACAGACATCAAGGCAGTTCAGTAGTTGAAGTGTTACCAAGCAAAAACTAAGCAAGCAGGCGAAGACTTTATTTTATATGTGATAGCTATAGTAATCTTTAGAGTGGTATAATTATCTGTAGTTACAACATGTTATAATTATGGTAATCTTTAGAGCGTTATGGTTAATTGTAGTTATGTCTTGAGAGTATCCAATAAATCTATTCACCAATCCAGACCCATCTACAAGTCATTAAAACATGTGACAATTTTGAAAAAAAATGTTTTCAGGTTGCTTTTATTAGATGTGACGTACACTTTGCACACATCCAGGTGACATTTTGCCTGACAGTAGTAGTACTATGAATCATGAATTTTGAAGGAATAGACAGTATTCTTAATATATTCCCAAAATGATTAAGTGGTAAGATCAGTATTTCGGGGGGACACATAATTGGCCACCTCTCCCCATCCAGTGGCCAACAAATTTGGCATTTAATCTTGTCAAATATTTCCAATTGTCATGCTAAAGACTTTGGTATTACTGTTTACAATTCAATATCTTAAATTTATGGAAAGATATGAAGTTTCAAAACATGTTTTCTCAGGAACGTTTGTCAGAGCAGCACTTCATCAAAGATTTCAGTGTCTTTGGTGTGTCTGGTGTATAACAATAATAAAGAATCGGTATTTTTTGACATTCTAAAAAGAAATAATGATTAAAAATATGGGTATTCTGTTGTGGTAACCTAGTACTGAAAATAACACCAACGTACTCCTTATTGTCATATCGTTTTCTGTTTGTGGGTCAATAGGAACTGTGTTTCATTTGCTTGTACAGTACGCTATAGAATTTTTTGTTTTATAGGGATTTGTGGTTGGTTTGTGCGGCTCAAAAATATTTTGTCTTCATGTTTCAACAATGTCAACTGTTGAAGTGCCATTGTCAGCTCCAATGTACCAATATCTGGAGAAGAAAATGTTTTGGTAAGAATTAAGCCATTATTGTGAGACAGCAATATCCACAGTTTAGGTTTTCTGGTAGAAATATTGATTGGCATGAAAAGAACAGGCCTCATTATCATAGCTTGTTTAAATTTCCATATGATTCTGAATGAGGGACAAGTCCATTGTGCCAATACTTAAGAGACCAAGATATATGAGTAAAAACACCAGTTATATATGTATATGAAACATGGTGTTTGCTTTCAGGGAACAACATAAATAACAAATGCTGCAGAAATTATTCTTGGTCTTTGACTTTAAGGGAGGAACATAGACAGAGGATGTTTTAGAACAGGGTACTGAGAAGAATATTTGGACTGAAGAGAGATGAAGTAACAGGAGGGTGGAGAAAACTGCATAATGAGGAGCTTCGTAACTTGTACTCTTCAAAGTATAATTAGAATGATAAAGTCAAGGAGGATGAGATGAAGAGGGCATGTAGCAGGAATGGGGGGAAGATAAATGCATATAGGATATTGGTGGGAAAGCCAGAAGGAAAGAGACCACTGGGAGAACCAAGAAATAGGTGGATGGACAATATTAATATAGATCTTAGAGAGATAGGATGGGATGGTATGGATTGGATTGATCTGGCTCAGGATAGAGACCAGCGGTGGGCTCTTGTGAACACAGTAATGAACTTTCAGGTTCCATAAAATGCCAGGAAGTTCTTGAGTAACTGCACAATTGGCAGCTTCTGAAGAAGGGCTCAGCTCCATGAGTGAGTGATAAAATTATTCAGATCAAAAGGGGATGAATTAAATATAGAAGTTAAGATATTTCATAATGAGGAACCTTGCAATTTGTACAGCCCACCAAATATTGTTAGGATAGTGAAATTTAGGAAGATGTGTTGTGGACATATATCATGGATGGGTGTTGCAGTAAATTCATGCAGAAATTTGGTAATGAACTGGATGCTTTGAAGACTGAGATGGGGGTGTGAGGATAACATCAATATGGATATGAGGAAAGCAGCTTTGAGTGTAGGGTGATGATGAAACTGACTCAGGATCGTGCTTTTTTTTTTTAGAGCTATTTAATCATCAGGGTATATAGTACAGAGAGTTGACTAGTTATGCTTGAAGAAACGAAAAGGATGGAAGGAACCTATTTTTGTTATAAACATGAGTGTCAAATAGGTCTAATGTGAGAATAACGACTTCATTCTTGATAATTGTCCTGGATTCTCTGTACTCTAAATTGCACACTATGTAAAAGTGGTAAAACAGTAAATAATCTTATGTACAGTGTGGATTATTAGGAGGTTGTTGCAAAGCTAATTTGGTGCAGAGAATGTGAACATAAAATTCTTTGATTTATGACCATTTCAGAGGTTACAGTGTTTCAGAGCCTAATCTTCAATTTTTTTTCACTCCAATTCTAAAGGGTTCTGATGATGGTGTTCTAGCGTCAGGATTACTGAATTTCTGGGCTTCATCTGTTGTCTAGTATCCTGAAGGAACACAACACTTTGGATACTGAATTTGCTTCTCTTTTCAGGTGGAAGTGTAAGGAGACACTTACTCAGCTGGGTCTGTTAGGAGGAGCTGATCTCAAACACTGGACAAATTAAGTTAGTATAACGACATCTGTATACGCACTTGGGATCAGGTGTTTCAACAGGAGGTAATGAGAAAATTTACAAGAGCTGTTTCCTAAGGGACCCAACTGAGTAGGCGCTCTTCATCTGTAGATGGGAACAAATCCAGTTTCTGAAACACTGTGCTGTTTTAGAATACTAGATGATGGTAGAAATATCTGTCACTAGTAAATGCAGTGCTCCGCATTAAGTTACAGTGCAACTGAATCCAATGAGAATTCAAGTGAACATAGCATGGAAATTAAAATATTACTGCTGAAAGATTAAACTGAACTTGTATGTGTGTATGTGTATAAGGTGTGGGCTTTGAAATCCTGCCCTCGCATTGTGACCTTCAATGATCTATTGTGCTTCTCCTTTGGATTAACCCTTTATTAATCCTACACTTTGAATGAAATGTAGGACTTTATTTATGAGGGCATCATAAAATTCACTTGGTTCCATGAAGAACTGACCAGGTGACAAAATCTTAAATTAGCTATGGCCTCACAATCACATAGGATATGTTACTGTTAACTGAACTTAGTGTTATGGAAGGAAGTGATGAACTTTTACAGGAAGAAATTAGGAGATCATAGGTAGGAGTTATAGATAGCACAGAGAGTACAGTAAATACTTAGTATGAAGCCAATGTAGGTATCCAAATTGTGCTTAAAAATAGTTAGTTATAGCTTAGGAAAATGGATGTGAATTTGGACATAAAGAACTAAAAGGTGATATGAGATAATTAAATCAGTCTGTAAAAACTCATGAGAGACAACCATTCAAAGAGGTTATATTGACAGAAGTCAATACTATTCCAGCTGTGGGATGTCATATGAAGAGACAACCACTAGTTGAACTGTCCTATAGTATTTATTGCAGCTGCACAGTATACACAGACGGATAACAACAATAGTGAACTGCTTGAACACTGAACCAGAATTGCAGAACTGTAGAATCTAGACTGTCACTGTAACTCAGTGTATCTTCTTATGTAGCCTAGAATCGGACATATAGAAAACGGTTGCGTAATAGGTACTGCTGTTGTCAGATACCGTGTTTACAAGTTCCCTAGCAACTGCTGTTTACTCGCTTTTGCCTAGCAACCGTTGTTTACTCGTTGTTGCTAAGCAATGACGCTTGCGTTGTCACACTTGCTTGGATGTGGGCAGTTCCCACACAGCTAAGGTAACAAGTTTGTATGAAACTATTAGAGAACAAACTTTAAATGACGCTAAATTGTCAGTTATAGTGGTTGGAAAACATGAAAAGGTCAATTATGAAAGACAGGAAAATACATACCCAGTACAAGTCATACAGAAATCACCACGAGTTACCTTGTATTTGTGAAGAGTGTGAGATGCTGGTCTGCAAATCAACAGGAAATCAGAAGTGGATAAAGTTGAAAAAAAAAAAGAAGACATCATCCAAAAAGAGGAAACAACAGAGGATTTTAATCACTGGGGGCAATGGAAGAGACTGTGCATCTAAAGTGAAATATGACTTGGATAGCTCCTTTGAAGTTCCAGGGGGTCATTAAGCCAGGAGCTCATTTAGTGACTATTACAAAAACAAGAATAGAAGAAGTTAATAATTTGGCAATGAAAGATGTGTTGGTAGTGCAGGGAGGCATGAAGGGTGTAGGAAAAAATGAGACTACAAATGCCTTGAGACAGTTAAAAGACTTTGTTAGAGAAAATAGCCATTCAAATATTATTCAAGTACGTGTCCCACATAGATTTGACTTACATATGAATTCTTGTGTAAATAAAGAAGTGGAGGTTTTTAATAGAAAATTATGGAAAGAGATGAAGGTCTTTGAGAATACAGCTCTTATAAAGTTAGATTCAAATGGAGACCTATTTACAAAACATGAGTTACACTTTAATAATAAAGGGAAGGAATTGACTGCAAAGAAAATTGTGTCTGCTATAAAATTATGTAAAATTAAAAAAAACAGAAGACCAATTTATATAATTTGGAATGAAGATCATGCAAAAGTAACACTGGAAAACCACAATAGCCAGGAACATCAAGGTCAGGGATTTTAAGAAGAAAGAAATAGTCTAGAGAAGGAAAAAGGACTAATAGATATCCAGGAAGACACCGATCTCCAAATAGAGAGATGTCAGGGTGTAAATGATGATGTTGACTAGATGATCTTCAAATGCCATAATGTTAGATTTGATCAGTAGCAGGTTGAGTGAACTATGTGTTTTTCCTCTCTTCCACTCTCTCATGCACACAAAATTATCTCTTTCAGGGAAGCATACAAAATAGCTTGCTTGGGGGTAACAGATGGTGACTGGGAGGCTTTGGCCCATGCAGCTCTGGAAAGCCTTGATTTTCATGTGGCCCGACAAGCATTCATACGTATTAAGGACCTGAAGTATCTTGAGCTGATCAATGAGTTTCAGGTAAGAAACTGGAATTGATCATATGTGGTGTATCAAAAAGTTCCCGAAATTTGAATTTTGTGTGCGAATGCTTATGAGTACATCAAAATACCTCTAGCTGTCTCCCCACACACCCTTCTTGAATCAGTGTGCCAAGCGGCGTTGAGTTGAGTGGTTGTTTTTATTGTTGGTGAACGTATTTCCATTGTTGGGTTTCTGTGAGTTTGCAGTTTTGCGATGGCTGACATGAGAGAACAGCATGTCTGTATAAAGTTTTGTTTTAAACTTGGGAAAACTGCTGCAGAAATACACCGAATGTTGAAGCAAGCTTTTGGTGACAATAGTTTAGGTCAGACACAAACTTACGACTGATATAAGTGTTTCAAAAATGGCCAAACATCAACTGATGATGACGATCGTTCGGGACGGCCGTCAACTGGCACCACACCGGAAAATGTCACGAAAGTTAGGGATCTGATTCTGCAAGACCTCTGTAACACCTTGGGATTAAGTTATGGTACATGTCAACGAATTTTGTCAGAGGAACTGAACATGAGGAGGATTGTGGCAAAGTTTGTGCCACGACTGCTGCAAAATGAACAGAAGCAGCATCGCTTGGGAGTCTGCAGGGAACTTCAACAGCAGCTTCAAGAGAATCCAAACTTTCTTTTGAAGGTGACAAAAGTTGGGTTTATGACTACAGCCATGAAAGTAAGCGGCAATCGTCACAATGGAGAGCCCTTCTTCACCTTGGCCAAATAAAAGCTCGACAAGTCAGGAGCAACATTATGTCCATGTTGATCTGGTTTTTTTTTATATTGACTGGATTGTTCATAAGGAGTTCATCCCTCCTGGTCAGACAGTCAACAAAGAGTTCTATCATGATGTTCTAAGACGTTTAAAGGAGGACATGAAGAGAAAACGTCCAGAGACGTGGTGTACGAACGACTGGGTACTCCACCATGACAACACACAACCGCATACAGCTTACATTGTGCAGGAATTTTTGGCTAAAAACAAGATGGCAGTTGTTCCCCACTCACTGTACTCGCCAGACTTAGCTCCATGTGACTTCTTTCTCTTCCCCAAGATGAAAATCAAGTTGAATGGGCGAAGATGATACAGTTGAGGAAATTCAGAGGGAAACGCAGATGGTACTAAACACCCTAACAAAGAAAGACTTCCAGGATGCACTTCAAAAGTGGCAGAAATGCTGGGATCGGTGTATGCGCTCCCAAGGGGACTACTTTGAAGGTGATGGTGCAGAATAAGATCCAGGTAAGACATAATAGTTTTTATTATTATATTTCTGGAACTTTTGGATTGCACCACATATTATGGAATAAGTTTATGTGTTGGCTATATGGAGTAACATTCCAGTAAGAAAGCTTCTCCTTCCTGTCATTTTCTCTTATGGACAGTTGACTGTGTGTTGAAGACTGTTGCCAACAGTTGGGAAATTGTATACGAGGTATATGAATCCATGATATATGAAGGGGGACCCAAAAATAACCGGAACCGACCTGTTATGCGCGCATGCTTTGTAGTTACGAGTTGTGCTGCTAGGTGGTGTTAGCTGGGGGTCTCCCGCGACTGTTAGTGAGCTGGCGTCAGTCTGAGTTAAGTGGTTTGTCTGTGGTGCTCTGTTGTGTGCGTTCCTGTTTCAANGGTGTCTGCAAAATTTGTTTCTCGCTTGCTCGGAGATGACCAAAGAGAAAACTGCGTGAATGTTTGCCGCGACTTGAAGAGTGAAGTGCAGAACGATCCAGAATTTCTTAAAAGAATTGTGACTGGCGATGAGTCTTGGTGCTACGGGTACGATCCAGAATCAAAGCAATCATCAAGCCAGTGGAAAACTCCAACTTCACCACGACTGAAGAAAGCGCGTCAAGTGCCATCCAATGTGAAAACAATGTTGATTTGTTTTTTTGATGTGAATGTGAAGGGGACTAATATACAGTTCAATAAAAATGCAAAAATAAAAAATAAAAATAAATTCCGGTTATTTTTGGGTCCCCCCTCATATGACTGAACACTGTATCAGCTGCATAGGTATGCTATATACAGCCCAATGAGAGGTGAAGATGATATTTAATAAGATCTAAAAGTTTGTGACAGTGGTACATCTGTACAGATGTTATGTTTCTGAACATTATCCATCATCCTGTTTTTATCTAAAAGCACTTTCCTGTTTATATTATTCAAAACACACCATGTCAGACTGGATTCTGTCTCTGTCTTCAGTTAAAACCTACTCAGTTAGGCCCAATCAGTAGAGCTAATCTCTATCTCTGGTGTTGTATTTTAGTGTCCTGTTGCACTGATTTTCATCCATGATATGTATGCAGTGCCGAAACATATTGTGAAATAACAAGTGAAATTGAGTGCACTAAAAAAACGGACACTGCATACAGATCATGGATGGGTCATAAGCTTTTCCCATAACTTGTTGTAACTCAGTATTTCATAGTTATGAGCAGGGCCCGGATTTTGATGACCTGAAAATATTTAAAAAATGACCAAAAAAATCCAGAAAAATGACCTAAAATATGACCCAAAAATGTAATATGCAGGGCTCGGAATTTGATGACCTGAAAATATTCAAAAAATGACCTATGAAATGACCGAAAAAATCCAGAAAAATGACCTAAAGGAGAAAAGAAAGAACACTTCGCTTCCATGTTATTCACATTTCAGAAAACATATGAAGAAAAATTCCCTAAAATGGCCCAAAATGACAAGAAATACCCTTAAAAGTCGAAAAAATTACCCCCAAAATGAAAAAATTACCTTAAACCTAAAAATGTCAAAAAATGACAAAAAATTACCTATAAAATTTACATTTCTGTAACCAGCAGCTCATATCCGAGATTTATATATTTAAGAGCATCGCATAGGATAGAAGGAAAAAAAAGATGACATGTCATCAAAATCTGGGCCCTGGTTATGAGCATAAACCTAAGTAACTCTTGATATTGTTTTTATGTGATTTGCAGGAGAGGCAGCATAGAGGTGAAAAGGACAAAGAACTTTTTGTTGCAGACATTCTGGCATTTTGCTGTAAGTTCAAAGAAGCAGCTCACGTGTATCAAAAATGCAGACAAGAACAGAAAGCCCTTAACATGTACACTGATCTAAGAATGTTTGATTTGGCTCAGGTATGTGACACATTACCTGTCATCAGAATATGGAATTTTATAAAAAGCCTAAATGTTATAATTTTGGCTTAATGTTTTAAAACAGGAATTCCTTGGTTCAGTGGACAATGTTGATCGGAGAGCATTAATTCGTAAGAAAGCTGACTGGGCCAAGAATATTAATGAGTCACGAGCAGCAGCTGAAATGTATTTGTCTGCTGGTGATACACAGCGAGCCATAGAGATCATAGGAGAGAATGGGTGGATTGACATGTGAGTGTATTAGTTAGAGTTGTAAATACATAGCGAAACTTGAAACAAACGCAGGCGTTTCTTGGTCTCTAAATAAAGACTAGGGCAGGGACCATTCATTTATCTTTTGTTTTCACATCTCCATTTTGTGCTTATGTCTAGAATACGTGGAACTTCACCTCTATATATTCTGTTTGCCGTGATGTTGTGCATAGATCAGTTGAGGATTATACCTGATTTTTTGCTTGAAACTTATTCTTGAATTGAAACACTGTAAGAAGATATAACCTGAATATTTGAATATCTCAATAGCTGTTCGTATTATACAAGGTGCTATCGGAAAGTTCCTGGACTAGGTCAAACAAGAATGCTGGCTTAACTTACTCAATTCTGGCTGCCATCTCCTTCAAAACAGTCTCCTTGGGAATGTATACACTGATTCCATCATTTTTTCCACGTTTTAAAAGCACCATGGAAGTTATTTTCCTTAACCCTTTCCAGTTGTCGCATTTGGAAAAATTTCTGCAGCCATGTTGTCAAGGGATTTTAAATGCCCACAGAGCCACTAAGCGAGCTGTTTTGCTCAAAAAGTTGGTACAACAAGGACGTAAAGTGAAAAAGCAAAATGTGTACCTACCAGCACAATGCAAGAAGACAAATTCTCTGTCTTATAGGTTTGTATGACAATCAAGTGTGGAGAGAGGTTGTAGTGTTTTAGTGACTAAAATTGTCTGCTGTTCTCTAGTATAAAAGATATGCATATTCATTTCTTCTTGTAACTATCACTTACACTTCTGTGTACACAAACAACAAAAACCCTGATAAATTATAGGACCTACACTAGAACGTTTGAAGTTCTTAAGAGTGTGATATCTTTCAAAACATTCCCCAGGACACATGGTAGGTTGATTTTTGCAGGTCTTACAGTAGAAATATGTTTCTTTTCTGGCTCCCTTGACCTTCCGATTTCTGCACACAATGCAGTCTTTGTGTTTATTTTTTTCATATTGGTCAAGGAAGTGAGGCGCGCTATTGAGTCTCTCTTCTCTCTCAGCTGACCCTGGATGTGACCTATTTCTTGGGTTGCGCACATCACCTACTAGATTTTCAACAAGAACTCGTCGATACTTGACGTGTGACATTTGTTTCACTCCCACGTGTGGCTTACGGCTGCTGTACAAAATGTATGAATTTACAATGCATACTTCCAGGCACCAGAAATAGAGTTTTCTACACCACCACTATGCTTTGTATACTTGAGTACACACATTGGCTTTTGAATTTCTTTCTTCTGCCTTCCTGTCTGAATGATCACTGTTTTATCCATTGACGTGTCCTGATATGTAGACATGAGAGCCACCCTTTGTCTTTCCAGCCCATTAGCAGACATTCCCTCTTCATAGGCAAGAGTGGCCCAATCTTCATTTTCTTCATGGCCCCCTTCCTCAGGGGTTTTGGATTGCCAGCTCTACCAACAGTAATAGTGCCTATTGTGTGGCTTTCTTGATTGTTCAGTTCTTCGGCCAACTGAACACTACTGTAATATCTGTCAACACCAGACACACTGAGATCCAGTCTGTCCATCAAAGAAAGAACTATTCTTGAAGTGAAAGGTTTTTCTGAGTATGGCAAGTTACACACTTCACCTTTAAGTTTTCCGCAATATGGAATTATACTGTGAACATAACTAGTGTCACTATCATCTAATACAAATAATTTGATGCCGCACTTTGTAGGTTTCTTCGATTATAAATTTTGAAATTTATTTTGCCCTTCTAGCAAACTCCATAATTGATCCAAACACTGTCTGTGAGCTCACGGATTGTTTGGTGACGGTCTTCTTGATGATTTCTCAAATTTCTGTCATTTTGCTGGTGCTTGGTTGACCTGAATGTTTATCTTCAACTGACATTCGACTGGCCTTGAAATGTGAATGCCATTCAGAAACCACTGTCCGGCTTAAAGAAAGTTCTCCAAAAGCCTCACAAAGCATTTCAAGGGATTTGGTATCACATTTACCAAGCTTCACACAAAACTTGATGCAGACACTCTGCTTGATTTTGTCATCCATCGCAGATGAAATTAAACTTGAAGTCGAAAAGCACTAATGTGAAACCAGCGTGTGTACGCAGTGCAGTATCTTGTGGCAGAGTGATGCAGTAGGCTTGCGGAAGTGTGACCTTGGCCTCCCCTCTCATCTTCTTTCACTGAGGCAGTTACAACAATAACAGTCTGGGAACTTTCCGATACAACCTTGTAGTATCAGACTTAAAACCAACAGAGAATGTACCAGAATTAGAAACAAGTAGAAATAAATCATTTCACCAGAATTACTAGACCTAAAGCATGATACAGGAAGGGGTTTAAGGCATGGGATATGTTACTTAGAGCCTCTCCTGCTTCAGTATGAACCTTGCATTGCCATACTGAACATTTGTGTTCATTGGGATGTGCCTGGTTGGAATATCGGGTGGACCACAGCTGTCCTGACATTCTTTTGTAATTCCTCACTCCTTCCAGACAATGCTGGGATAGTGCCTTCCAAATCCTTTCCAGTTCATCATTCTCCCATCCAAAACTGTATAGCCTTCATACTGAAAGTGTCCTTAATACCCCCTCCCCATCAACATGCCCATACACATGTGCATGCATGTAATTTCTCTCTCTCTCTCTCTCGCTCTCGCACATGACGTATCCTATGTTCACATTTGGTGCTCTGGTGACTAAGCCTTAGTGGTATAACAGTTCTAGAAAACTTAATTATGGTGACATAACTACATGTATTATGAGGTGTATCAGAAAGTTCCCGGACCAGGTAAAAAAAGAAATGCTGGCTTAACTTACTCAGTTTTGGCTGCCATCTCCTTCAACATAGTCTCCTTGGGAATGTTTACAGTGATCCCATAATTTTTTCCCATGCTTTAAAACACTGGAAGTCATTTTCCTTAATGCGGTCGACTACCCCTTGCGATTCCATTCGGATGTCAGACACACACAGTTTCAAAACTTTGTCCCTTCAGTTTCATTTTCAATTCGGTAAACAAAGCATAATTACGGGGCTAAGTCTGGCGAGAAGTTGTTGTTAGTCACAAACTCGGTGGTTTTCAGGGACATGTGGGCAGGCACATTGTTGTGATGAAGGAGCCAGTTATTGTTGCTCCAAAGATCCACTCTTTTTCATTACACATTTTCTCTCAAGCATCTCAAAATGTCACAGTCCTCATAAAAGTCAGAGTTGACTGTAGTGTTAGGAGGAACAAATTCACCGTGAACAGTCCCCTTCATGTCAAGAAAACAGAGAGCATACGCTTTGTTGAACTTGGTACGTGCCTTGCCCTTTTTGCTCTTGGTCATTGTGGGCTCTTCCACTACATTGATTGTTGCTTTTTTTCTGGATCATAACCATAGAGTAGTTGGTTGAGGCACTATGCTGCAAGCTGGAAGGTTGTGGGTTCGAGTCCCGATGAGGTGGATTTTGTTTTATTTACTTAATGCATCTATGGCACTATGGCCCTGGGGTCAACTCAGCCTCTAACAGAAATGAGTACCAGGGGGTAAGGGGGGGGTAAAGGACCCCCCCAGCACATAAGGCTGACAACCTTACTGCCATCTGTGAGCCAATTGTCTACATAATGTGGAACCATCAATGTCTCACAACCCTATGGGCCTTTGCAGCCTGTTACGGGTATAGCTTTACCATTTTTTACCTTTTTAACTGTAAATCCAACTTTTGTCACCCATTATCATCCTAGAGATAACTGTAAAAGATGGGTCCTCATTAGCCTTCTCTTGTAGCTCAAGACATGCGTTTATGCACACTGCTTTTCGTCACTTGTCAAGACTCAGGGCAGAACCTTTGTGGCAATGCAGCACATGTTTAATTTTTCTGTTAAGGTTTCCTGGCAAACTCTATGACTTATCTCACTTGTGTCTATGAGCTCATGGATTGTTTGGTGACAGCCTTTATGGATGAGCTCTCAAAATTTTTTTTAACATATTCTGTAATTTCGCTGGTTTTTGGTTGTCCTGAATATTCCTCATCTTCAGTTGACACTCGACCAGCCTTGAAATATGAATGCGACTCAAAATCTGCTGTCTGACTTAAAGAATGTTCTCCAAAAGCCTCACAAAGCATTTCAAGGGTTTCAGTATCAGATTTATCGAGCTTCACATAAAACTTGATGCAGACACGTTGCTCAATTTTGCCATCCACCACAGATGAAACAAAACATGAAGTCAAAAAGGGCTTGTGTAAAAACAGTGCATGTTCACAGCTCTGAGACATGTGACAGACTAATGCAGTAGGCTTGTGGAAGTGTGGCCTCCCCTTTCATCTTCTTTCACTGAAGCAGTTACAACAATAACAATCCGGGAACTTTGTGATAGCTCTTTGTATATCTAGTATGAAGAAAATAGCAGCACCTAATTCCATGTAACCAAGTCATTGTAACATAACTATTAGACCTGGTATGAATGATATGCCACTTCCTATTCACAGAAATCCAAGTAATGTCAATGTTACCATTATATCTGGTATGGAGAAAATGCCACTATATACAGGGTGTCCCAGGAGGAATGTGCCAAACTTCGGGAGGGTGTTCCTTATGTTAAAGTATGCCGATATAACCCAAAACACCTATGTCCAAAGTTGAACGGTTACGGAGATAATGGCCCAAGAAAAGTGTGGTCTTCTGGCAGGTCCAAGCACTGTACCTCGCTGTACCTCTCAGCTGAGAGCCCTTATCTATGTTTGTCCTTGAGTGCGATGATACTCCCTAGCCGTGCTTATGTAGTTGGCTCATACCAGAACGCGCAGTCAGCACGTTACGTCATCGCTCGCCAGTCATGTGTTATGTATACTGCTTGGAAACCTAAGGACAATTATGACATGGCGAGCGAGTATTTTGTACTTCAATTTTATGGCTTTCCGTCACTCACAAGTTGGTTTGATGTTACGTACATTATTAACATTACAGAATCCACATATTCCTGCCAGTTTTAATATCTATTTTGTAATCAACAAGTGTGTAACCCCGGTCAAAGTTTGACACTTCTCTGGCCATTATCTCCGTAACCGTTCAACTTTGGACATAGGTGTTTTGGGTTATATCGGCATACTTTAACATAAGGAACACCCTCCCGAAGTTTGGCACATTCCTCCTGGGACACCCTGTATATCTCAGAAGACCCAGTCATGGTAATGGTGTGAGGGGACTGCCACTGTGATCTTTATTCAAATCTGTGTTTCTGATGGGGCTGTTTAATGGGCACAAAACTGTGCCAGTTGAGTCACTAGTCATCATCATCTGGTATGATTTTGTGGGATATAGGTTGGTGGATGTTGGTCGCCGGCTGGACAAGGCAGATCAGGATGGCATAGGACTCGTTGCACAACATCTGTGCAGACTGAAGCAACTTAGTTATGCCACTGAAATGTATAGAAAGCTTGGTGATGAGAAGAGCATCGTGCAGCTATATGTGCAAGCAAGAGAGTGGAAAGAGGCTTTCTCTCTCATTGAGAGCCATCCAGAATTCAATGATCTGGTCTATGTCCAGTATGCTCAGTGGCTTGCCGAGAGTGATAAGTTTGCAGGAGCTCAGAGAGGTAGGTCTTTGTCAAAGCCAATGAACAATAACTAAGAGAAATAACAGTTGTCGAACTCTTCTTCTGTTGTGATCCGAACTTTTGCATCAATTTAATCTTTCCCAGCCTGGGAGCATGAAAATGTTCTTATATTAATTGGTATTTCCAGCCTTTGAGCTGAAATGTGTTTGTTTGTTTGATGTGTGTGTATTTGTTAGTGATCTCTGTTGGAAAGTTAACATCCTAATGCTTCAGTGTATCATGCAGTAAATATATAGAGGCATTGTTCCTCTCTTTTATATACTGGCTGCAGTTCCCATGTCATGCCCCCCCCCCCCCCGCCCCGCCACACATTCCAAAAATAATGATACATATGTTATTTTGCTTCTCAGCATTCCACAAAGCCGGTCGCCTAGATGAGGCTTTTCAGGTCCTGCATCAGCTCACACTAAACGCAGTCAATGAATCCAGGTTCCAAGATGCAGGATATTATTACTGGGTCCTTGCTAGACAGTGCCTTGAGATTGCCAACCAAGAGTAAGGCCTAGTCGTATTCTTCTGTATATGTATTTATTCCAGCACTTAGGGTTTAGAAATTGATATATTGGTTATTAACCTTAATTCTCTGTGTTGCACCATTCTGATGGCACAGATGAGTGTTCCATTTTTGTTAACGTTCCATTTGTATATTACTCATATCAAGGGTATCCACCTACCATGCCATATATTCTGAAAAGACTATAATCTAAATACCTTAAGAACATCAGATCTCAAGACTAAGGCACTGAGCCAAAATATGGCCAGCAACTCCATTGTGTTGGAAGATTTAAAACCCCCAGTGTTCATATGATTGAGTTTCTCTGTTAGTACACTGAAATTCAAGTAGTCAGATGGCCATATGAGTGAGTATCTGTCCTTTTGTGTGGATGGATCTTCGTGAAATTTCTCTGATAAACTGAATAAAAGATAGTCATTGCCACTACAGAGAACCGGGATAGCCAAGTCAGTATAGCGACTGCGGGCTGGACGACCAAGGGGTTGGAGTTTGGGTCCTGCTGGGGGAAAGAATTTTCAATTCTACATATTGCCCAGGCCAGCTCTGGGGCCCACCCAACCTCCTATCCAATGGGTATCAAGGGCTCTTTCCCAGCGGTAAAACGGCTGACCATTCACCTCTAACCAGTGCCAAGGTCAAGAAAACATGGGTCTGTACATCCACTCCCTCACACGTCTTCATGGCCTAGTGCTTAATTTGTTAAGCACAGGGACAACTTTACCTTTATGTTACCATTGCCACTACAATGACTTTCTTTTTGTTGCAAGAATAAAATGTTAATATAATAGAAAAACTTGTTTACAATGGGAATATCCTTATCTGTCTACAAACAGTGAAGGAATGATTTGTCTTTGGACAGCTAACAGATGGACAGAAATTGTTCCAGAGCTGTGATTTTAGCTGCACTTGAGTGAGAGAAAATATTCAACTAACTCAGATGAGCCGGAAGATTAAACAAACGAATGATATGAAGTATTCATATGCTTCTCCTGTGCAAGAATGTATTAAGGCATACAAAAAATTATAATTTCATTGCTTTTGGTGCATAAATTTCGAAATTTTTGCATGTGTAAGGAAAATGTTAAATGAATGAACGAATGAAGAAGGAATAAATAAATAAGAGGTGGGCCATAAGTGGTCCATGCATCATTACCATGGATAATCTATTGTGCGTCTCCCTCTGGTCAGTCCTCCAACAATCCTACATTTCAAACAAAATGTGGTATCTTACTTAAAGGGGCATCTTAATAATGTTATAGTTTAGCGTCCTGTTACACTGATTCGTGTCCATGGTTTATGCTGACCATCTTACAGTGTATACACTTTTTCACCATATTCTTCACTTCCACACTACATGCTTCAGCACTAATGTGCCATCTTCAGGTGTCCCTATGCACGTTAAACTATTGTACTGCATGCCATAATGTCTTCATTCTAAAATGACTAAAATCTGTATTCGTCATATATGCCGATGAATTCTAAATAATAAAACTTTTCAGGATTCTTCCTACGTCACACTCAAACACGCGAATTACGCCAATCCTCTTTTATGTGAGCATTCTTCCTACATATATTTGTTTATCGTGTTCTGTGTTGTGTTTTGCTCCTGTTACTGCATGCATTGTACTGCATCTTAATGGTCACCTTTTACTGTAGAGTAGTGTTTCAGGTGACAAAATCAGCAGTAAGGTACAGCTGCACAATCGCATAGGATATGTGGGGCTGATTCATCTTTTTGCAGGCACCTTCCACAACTGAGAATGATTGTTAATGCAAAATTAACAAAAAATTCAGAGTAAAACTGATCACCTACTTTCCTTGCACTACATACTGGATATTTGGTACAACATGAACTTCAGAAAAATCTCTGTCCAACAGTTCTTCTATTTTTGCATGTGTATTCGTTGCCATGGGAACATCAGTCCATGTCCTAACAAATGATCAGTATGTAGTGAAAGGGAAGGAGGCAATTACGTATTCCCAGAACTTATTGCTTGAAAATAAAGAAAGAAGATTAAAATGGTGTCTTTTCAGGTGACAGTGTCCTTTAGATACTCTTGTCACTTATTGAAGCTGGCTTCTTTTTAGTTGAAATAGTTCCATAGTTTTTTGGCACAGGGTCCTAGTAGGAAATACTGTGCATGTTCTAGTCCTGTTATGGATGCCTAGTATTCTTAGGGTCCCCGTCAGCTTTCTTGGCAACTACTGCTGGATGCTGCATGATGGTTCAGGTCCTATATATGGATGTTTACATCCTGATGCTGCCAGTTGGCAATTTTGTTACTCTCAATTCCTATGTGACCTGCTACCCATATGATTTGAACTCTAATATAATATAATATAATGTGACGTGTTGCACTATGGAGAACAC